TCCATAGGGGGGGTGCAGAAAATGTTTGGGAACCACTGCATTGGAGAAAATATCATAAAAATTCCTTACAAACATTTCTAAATTGGCACCACAAAATCTCTGCTTTGGATTGCAAAAAAAGCAAAACGCTAAAATAATCATAAAATCGTATAGAAACAGCTATTTATTGATATTTTAACCATTTAAAATGTTAATAAATACATTCTGGCACAACCGGCCCTTCAAGAACTTTCAGATTTTTGAACCAAAATGAAAATGAGTTGAAAATGTCTTGATACAAGTGAAATAATCTGCCAGTTTAACAAATACTTTTTGTATCTATCTTGCTAAATAGTTCATTATAAGTTAGTTTTGTTTTTTTTCAATTGCTCCAGGATATTTGCAGTACAAAAATACTTGGTAACATTTTGTGTTTTTGCAGTGCCTCATCTGTTTATTCGTGTTTCTTGTGTTTAATATTAAATCTGAGCTTCACCTGGCCGAGGTGAATCTCCAGGATGCGAGTGAAAAAACGTACCTCAGTGTCTCTGAGGCCCGTATCGACGGTCCGGGCCGGAGTTGGCACCCCTGCCATGGGAGCAGGGAGCGGGGTGGGGGCCGTGTCCCGGCAGCAGCTGATCAATGCTCACATCCTGTGAACCCTGCATGTAACACGGCAGAGCGTTCCCAACACACACAGACACACAGCTGCACGGCAGAGGGAACGGCACGGCCGCCCAGGATCAGAACCCAGGGAGATCCGAGCAGCCCCATGGGGTAGGACCATCCCTGATCGGCGTTTTCCCAGGATTTACCAACACGATGCCGTTCACACGGAGGCCCAGAGGGACAGAGGACCTGTGAGATGTAAGCTGCTGTTTGCATGTTTGTGTCATGTTGTGATGTTTGATCTTTAGAGGAAGCAGAGAAGACAAAGTGAACACTGAGGCATTGATTCCTGCTGTTTTAACAAAGGTTTTGATGTTTTCTTCCAACTGTTGCAGCATCTTAGTTCAACCATTGACCTTACATCATCCACTGCCCAAACAAAGCTCATACTACAGTGGCCCTGAGGGCCAAAGCACTGCAGCAAACTCCTTTTATATAATCTGAGAAAACGTAAGACAAACTGCAAACATTTAAATAAAGAAAAAAACACATGTGAGGAGTTTTGAGAAAGCCTCTTCCATTGTGTTGGGATTTAGAAACAATAACTTCTGAATTTACTTTCAGGTTTTGGTTTTGTTTGTTTTTTGGGATCTTTGAAGTTGAACCAAAAGCTGCAGCTCTTCCAATGAAAGCAAACTAAACTGAGGTTCAGAGCCGAACTGAGATTATATAACATCCAGCACTCAGCTCAACTATGAAGGTCGACCCCCCCAAGCTTTCCAACAAGCGATCTGTCAATGTTTTCCTCAGCAGAGGTTCACCTGGACGGCTTCCCCTCACCTTTATCTCAAACCAAAAGCCTCCAGATGTGATGTTTTTAATCAAGATTTGGTCTTTTAGACTCATGACTCTTTTTAAAACACTAAAGGATGATTTGAGCTACTTCTAGATAACAAAAGTCACCTAGAAATCTTATTTTGTGGAAGTATTTTAAATGTATAAGGGGATCCATGCTACAGGAAGGAATTTTGTACCATTTATTTATTCACATAGAGACAATTTACAATATTTTATTAACCTTTTAAAAGGCGAGATTCAAGGTAACAGCAAAAAATGCTAATTTCCACCTCCAGATTGTAGGTTGATATAATCAAGTATAGTTTAATAGATTATGAATTATTAATTATATCCATATCTGATAAGTAATTTTTTCAGATCTCTCTAAAGCAACGCAAACCAACAAACAATTTGTAAAACAATTTCTTTGCCTTCATTAATATTAAGTGAAATGTGATTATTTAACAGCCATATTTTTGCCATCTGTACAAATATTTTCCTTCAGGTGTCATTCATCCAGCCCCTTTCATTCCAATTAGAAAGTTACAAAGTGTTTAATTTAAAAAACACCTGAGGTCGAAGACGCTCCACTGAAGGCAGCAGAGCTCTGATATTCATGCTTCCTGAAGCTTCTCAACATTTTGGACGGACGTTTTTATTTTGTTCAACACATAGAAGTCATCAAATTAGTGAAAAGACTCCAGCTGTGTGTAACTGAGATGCTCTGTGAAGATCTCAGGTTTTCTAAGAGAATATTTTGAGATGCTTGAAGCAGGTTTGTTGATAAAAACAATATTTCAAGCAAAAACTGAAAGAATGTGACACAAATGCAAATCTACTTAGACCTGACCGTTCACATAAACAGACTAAATAAACCTGTTAGGAATCAAAGCATATTTATGTGTTAGAATGGCCTAGTTCAAGTCCAGATGAAAATTAAATGCCTTAAAGAGACTGGTTAAAAAATATAAACCTCTTCAACTGGACAAGTTGGACTATTTACCTCTTTTGTTTATTTTCAACCAACCTATTACTCTTCTATCACGATCACCCAAAGCAACCGGTCCGAAAAATGTTTCTATCATTTCCAAATAATTCCAAAATAGGAAGGTTTTCCTGCAGAAAACAGGAACTTGAGATCATCGTTCATGCTTTTATTTCCTCTTGACTACTGGAAGGCCATTTTCACATATTTCACCTTCAATTGATGAAAAACACTGCAGCAGTCAAGAGATCATAATACTCCTGTTTTTTCTTGCACTTTAATTTTAAAATCCAGACTTTAATCTTTAAACTCTGCATGGTCAGGATTAGGGCTGAGACGATTAATTGGATTAATCATGATGAAACGATGATTGAAATAATCATCAACTAATTTAGTAATCAATTAATTGTTAACTGTGTATTCAAACTCAAAAAAACAATATATTCAGATCAGTAATTAGAGAACACAGTACAAAAATACAATATATGCATCATGTGTTTAAGATGTGTATATATAGATATATATAGATGTATATAACTTTTCTGTAAACAGGTTTCAGCCAATACTCCTCAAGTGGCCTAGTCCAAAGTCCCCAAAGAAATGCCATGTTACTGTATATTAGGTAATAAAAGATTTATTTTCTTATTTAAAAAAGGAATTGAATTATTTCTTTATTTGTATCTTTTAATGTATTCCTAATATTGCATAAAAAAGGCTTAAATTGTTAATGGTTAAACCATTTTTTGTCTGATTAATCGATTAATCATCAGAGTAATCGCTATAACAATTGATTCCTAAAATAATTATTAGTAGTCAAGACTTGTCCTACACTTCCTGATTCACCTTCCTCTGTTTTGACGCCTTAACTGTCTTGATGTCTCTAGCCAAGCATGCTTTTCTTTGAGATTTGTTGAAACAATATTGTTTATTTTCTGTTAATTATCTATTTGTAATTTATATCTGAGAGCGATGAATATATGGAAAAAAATTACTTATTTTATTCACTCATCTGACTGAATCTGAGCTTACAAAGAGGAATTTCTTTTGGTCTCAAGAAAAGACTGTTTCTTTGAGATATTGACTCAATATGCATCTAAATTTTGAATTAATTTCCTTGTGCTTCACATTGAAACATGACAAAAATGTGAAAACGTACAACACACGTGACCATTTTTAAAGCGTCATTTCTGATATGATCTGGTAAAATAATTCATCTAAAAGCTGTGAACTGAGGAGACCCCAAAGGAAAGTCCTGGACCACTGCAGCAGCCAGTGAGGGACTCGGAGGGGAAATTTGACTGACATGGTTTGCATCCAGCTGTGGCCTTAAAGGGAAGGTCACTGCAGATCAATACAGTGCTATTCACAGTGATCGCCTTTGTCCTGTGATGGCAGTGCTTTCCTATGTGGTGCCAAACCAGCCATCAGCACAGCAGATGATGGGATATTTATTCATCAGCAGTCGTTTTATCTGATTTTTGCCAAAATCTATTAAAAAGAAGGTTGTTTTGCCCCTTTAGCAGATTGAATATATCAACAACACCTCAGTGTTTACCTCTAATCATGTTGGCAAATTTTGTTTTTATCCAATTCTGACAAGTACTGTTAAGAGTTAGTCAAGTTAATTCAATCAAATAGTTTGTTTCTGATTGGAAACAAGAAAACAATGTAGGAGTCCCCAATATATTCACATTATTATCAATATTAGTCGATCACATAGTATTTGTTTTTTCATGTTACAGTAATAATGATGCAGCAAAGGATTATGGGATGTTTCACTGGAGCAGAGAAGCAAAAGTCATTGGTGTGGTATTTTTAATGCCGTCAGAAAGGCATGAAAATATATTTAATATTGCTAAATATCAGGTATCCACCAAAACAGCAACATATTGGTCCAACTTTTTATATCAGTGCATCCTTAAGACAATGTACAAGTATTCTGTAAACAATATATAAAAAATATATATAGAAAAATACATTTTTATGCATTGAAATATATGTTTTTTCAATAATCGATGGAAATTATTTACTGACATTATGGCGTTAAAAGCCTTCTTATAATTGCTGATCTGCTTTTTGCAAGTGTCCACAGGTATTTTCACGAGTTATTCCACAGATTTAAGGCAGGACTTTTGCACGGTCACTCCAAAATGTTAATTTTATTTGCAGTCAGAAGAAACAAGATAATGCTAAATCTAAATCTACATGAATAATGTTGGGCTTAAATGTATGGGAAAAATGAAAAATAAAATTTTCTTGCAATTCTTTTGACTTGGAAATAAAACTACAAATGCTCTGAAGAGTGATGAAACTCTGCAGGATTTCTAGATATGTAATCATGAAAAAAGAAAATGTGTGTTTTACTGCATGTCATCTTAACACAATGTTTTTCAAAGAGGGTGCTGGTCCTGGGGGTTTGAAAAAGCTGGAGGGAAGATGAGGACACTGCTGCAAAAAATGCTCTGAACTCAACTAAAATCAGAAGGTGTGAGATTGCATTTGTGCTAAACGAATATCATAATCATTAAACACTGAATGAAAATGAAGTAAAAACATTCTAAATGCTGATGTTTCTTTATTAATTTTGTACTATTGTCTGTTTGCAAAGGGTTCCCCACCCAGAAGCTAATGCTAATTTTACTTCACTTTAATTTTTAAATCTGTTTTAACCTTTTGAGATCAAACATGAGAATTAGAGTTGAGAGACAAGAGTTGCCTTCATGGCAGCTACAAAGTACCCATTTTGAAACCATCTAGAGTTTAGGACATGGATTACTGGTTCCATTTTTAGCATTTTGTCAAGGAAAACTTTCTATCATGTGCAGTTATGTCTCAAATATACTGAAGAACCTAAGGTTTATTCAAAGATATGAACCGCGGTTTCTTTCTGAACCAGCTACACTGCAAAACACAAAATCTTACGAAGTTTTTTTTTTTTTTTCAAAATATATTTCAAATAAGGCAAAACTAAGTCACAAGTAAGCTTTCACTGGAAGAAGTATGCAAAAAATATTTTTAATAAAAGTTACATGCTACAGCTTTAATCTGCTTGTTTGTTGCGTTTGTGTGTCCTCAGTTTGACTATGTGGCATTAAAGTGGTGAAAATCTGACCATGGGTGACTGGAACCTGCTGGGCAGCATCCTAGAAGAAGTCCACATTCATTCCACCATCGTAGGGAAGATCTGGCTCACCATCCTCTTCATCTTCCGCATGCTGATCCTGGGAGCTGCGGCTGAGGACGTCTGGGACGACGAGCAGTCGGAGTTCGTCTGCAACACAGACCAGCCAGGCTGCAAGGCGGTCTGCTACGACCGAGCCTTTCCCATTTCCCTCATTCGCTACTGGGTGCTGCAGGTCATCTTTGTGTCTGCGCCCTCTCTGGTCTACATGGGGCATGCTCTGTACTGCATCAGGGCGCTGGAGAAGGAGCGCCACAGGAGGCGGATCCAACTGAAGGGGGAAATGGACGAGGCAGAACTTGGACTGGAGGATCACAAACGCATAGAGAAGGAGCTGAGGAAGCTGGAGGAGCAGAAGAAGGTGAAGAAGGCTCCTCTTAGAGGCTCTCTGCTGAGAACCTACATCATCCATATCCTTACTCGCTCTCTGGTGGAGGTTTGCTTCATCCTGGGCCAGTATATCCTGTATGGAATCCATCTGGAGCCCCTGTATAGGTGTGAGAGGCTGCCATGCCCCAACAGTGTGGACTGCTACATCTCCAGGCCCACAGAAAAGACCATCTTCATGTTTTTTATGACCATCATTGCAGGAGTTTCACTCTTCTTGAACATTTTGGAGATTCTCCACTTAGGCATCCGTAAAATCAAACAGACTCTGTATGGAGAGAGGTACACAGAGGACGACAGCCTGATCTACAGGTCCAAAAAGAAGGCGTCCTTACAACAGCTCTGTGTCATGAGTAATGTTTCCCCTCACAATGGGCCTCTGACTCAGACCTTCAAGGTGATTCACGAGGCTAACATGAAGCCTCTTCATTACACGATCCACGATCCACCAAGACACAACAGCTTGGTTCATCTGGGTCAAACTGGCTACAGCTGCCCTCCAGCAAGGATGACCCACAAGTCTGTGGAGATCTGTGCAACTCCACAAACCTCTGAAGGTCCAGAGGTCCACACAGTGACCCTGGACCACCATCCAGCCTGGAACTCTGTCATGTCCACAGTGGAGGAGGACACAACCAGCCAAGCAGAAATCCAGGAGGAGCAGCATCCTCAGCCCAGTCATTTGGACCCTGTGCTGTCTGGGAGCACCATAAGGCCTGGAGCCATCAGAACCATCAACGAGGAAGAAAGACGACAGTCTTCGGTCAGCGACTTCCTGATTCCCAACCCCAGAAGGACCAGCTTCATGATCAGGCCTCCATCCGAAAGCCTGTCCTCCATGAGCGCCTCCACCAGCCAATCCTTGCACAGCTCAGAGGAGTCCGATGAGCTGGGATCTCTCCAGGGAGACATGCCGATGATGCCGCCAGCTGGAGGCCGACGAATGTCAATGGTAAGCAGAGGTGTGAAAGGTTCAGATAATCTGTGAAGTTAATACAGTGGACCCTTGCCTATTGGCTGGTTTTTCTGAGAAGCACATCAAAAATATGTTCTGAAAATCCAGTTTGGGGAGTTGAAATACAAAGATGCAATGCTATTTGACAAGCTAATAGCTAGCATTAGCAAAGAAGCCAATCTAAGAGCACCTTGGATCTTCTGCTATTAGCTTCTGCTGTAGTGCTAAGATCTTTTCCATGGTGTGTATTAACGTAAATCAAAGTATAGTTTACTATTAAAACAGTCAGCTATAATCATATTTTAGCTATTTGTGGTCTCTAACCTCCATGAATACTCTCCACTGTAGCACACAGAGTGTTTTTACTTTGGCAGCTGTTCTGTTGACTTTTAAGAGCTTCCTAAATCATTCATACAGATATCTTGCTTTTTAAGAGAGCAAAAAGAACATCGTCATTAAATACAGCACGGCATGGAAAAGACTGAGACGAGTGTGCCTCTGAAACCTGCTCTAAGTTGTCAAGAGAAATCAACAACTAACAATCTCAAAACAGACCATCTGTATGACTTTGAGGATGAATTTTGAAAGGAGAAATGTTATTTTCTACTCCACAGTAAGGGTTTTGTAAGAGCATTTCATTCTCCGTCCTGAGTCGGATAGAGTTCCCTCGTATGACACTTATCCACTTCCTTCAAGATGGTACTGATCCAACGTTTTGGAACAATCTGGTCTCAAAGAATCTCTGGTATAGATTTGTAATCTGTGATGCAAAAACTAAGTAGCACTAAGACGTCGGGGTAAATACTACACTTTGCTTTTGCCTCTTGATTGTTTTCAGTTACTAATAATTGTAACGGCTTAGGATGGGATGCTAACCACCTTATAGCCCAAGTTTCCCAATCCTGGTCCTCAAGACACACTGCATGCTTTAAATATTTCCTTTACATGATTAAGATGACTGCAATTCAGCAAAAGCCTGTTAATCTGCCATCAATTGAAATCATGTGTGGTTGAGGCAGAAAAACATCTAATCCATGCCTCAGGGAACAGAGATGGGAAACACGAGTCTGAGGAGACAGTTCTCAAACAGAAAAAGTTGAAAACTGGGAAGAAAATCAGATGTTAGTCTGCTTCAATCAGAAGAATTCAAATGTCTTGTTCTCTTGTGCCTTAGTGATGGTGGGATGGAGCAGGAGAAGCATATAGGCAGCTTGGGGCTTCATACATTAAATTTCCGCTCGTCCATCTATATTCCAACCTTCCCCTACAGATACTGCCTGAAAGAACTACTAGACTATTGACCCTTTGCAGCTATGTCACTTAATCATTCACTTCCAACACCATGACAGATGTCCTTAGTGAGGATCGGGAGTATCGAACTGAGTGACTGAAGTTGTTTTCCCAAGTTGTTTTTGCTACTTTATTTGTGGCTTCTACTTGTTTGAGTCAATCTAATTTGTCTTTGAATGCAACACACCTGGTTGGGGCTCATAGACGGCGGTATTTTAATCTTGTTACCTTGTAAAAAGTGTTCGCTGTAATTCCGCGGTTACACCAAAGGCTGCTAATCATTATGATTGTCGGCTGCTATCCATCGCCATTTATCTTTCCTCATTAAAAATTAGACAATAAAATGCCAAATTTGGTTCTTATCCTTGTCTGTTTGTGCAGCCGACCGCACAGCATCCTGTGACTATTTTTACTGTGAAATCAACTAAATAAAAGCGATATTAGGTTACCAGATGTACGTTTTTTTACAGGCTTTACAGGAGCGCATCGGTTGTTTTGACGTCCATCATGGCGGAGCGAGCCGAGTTTCAAAAAGAGTGACGTCACATGCAAAAGGTCAATAGATGCAAGTGGATGAAACAAACTTTCTCTGTTGATTTCTTTGCAAGAATCAAGTATCTTTCTAGTCTTGCTTGGGAACTTCTAGGATCTTCTAGAAGAAGATGAATAAAGGAAAATCTTGGTTTCCTTGATGATGGACAATGAGGCAGGTGGTTGTAAACACAACTTCTTGAAAAGGTCCAGTTGTTGAATAAGCATTTTAAGTGACCCCTGCTTGTCTCCCTGTGTTGTATATGTGACTCTATATTGGAAAAATCATTATCCTGCCGCCAGTCAGACAATCTACTCCATGCATTAATTAGTCCCGTAACACGCTTACCAGAAAGTGATCTGATAAGTCTGCTGGTGTGCTGTAACATCCAATGTGTCTGCCTCTTTCAGAGCATGTTTCTGGATATTTCCTCAATCATGAAGAAGTGAAGAGACGAGGCTGAGTTACAGCAGCTGGAGACAAACTGTATCAGCGATCCATCGATTCTTCGAGCGAGTCACATGCGGCCAGGATCGGCCATGATGAGGCAGCGGATGATTCAATGCACCTTGCAAAGTCTGCCGGAGTGTTTCACTGGCAACAGGATCGGGCTTAAAGAGGAGCTGCTTGATTCTGTAACTCTGAGTTTTTACGTCAAGGACAGATTCAGTCTGTGTAAAGTCATTTATATAAAAACCCCTTCAGCTCATTCAGATTTAAAACACAAACAGAACCACTTGAACATATTTAACCAGAACACACCATCAACAGTCCTCATGCTTTTATTTCTCTACAAAAACTGTTTTTTTTGTTCCTGTCAGACCTTTTTTTTCTTATCAAATAAATGGGATGTGACATGTTGTTCAGTTTTTACAAAAACCAGAGAAACCTCATTCAGAGACTTAAAAAGAAAAAACTGCAAATAACAGTCATCGGTTAACAGTTACACAAAACAGGTAAAAATGGTCCACAAAACCTACAAAGAAGTACGCAGAGTAAAAAGTTAGAAACACAGAGTCTGTCGCAAAGGAGGAATGCTGAAAATCCAAACATGGATTCTTCTAGTTTAGTTTTTTATCTGGTGTTACGTGCTTCGGGCGTGTAACACGACATTATCAAGTCCAAATGTCCCAAAAGTTCTCCTGAACCACGATTCTGCTGCAGAATGTTCAACTCAATAACCGAGCTGCATTTCAATCCAGAAATCCAGTTTGTTTTGCCACGTTTACGGAGTAAAGTCAGAATGTAAACTGGCATAATTTAATTTTAGAAACTCCTCCTGAAGCAAGAAAAATAACTAGCCAACATGTTTATGTAGGACCTAAGTGGATTTTGCTCAGATTCCATGTGGGTTGATTATATGCAACTTATTTTGGCAACACCTGTTTGGTATCTTATGGAAGATACCAAACAGTATCTATACAAGATACCCTGGGTCTTCAATAGGCGTTATGGAAAGTAGTCCAGATTGCAAAACGTATTTAGGACTCATATGGGTTCCGCTTTTTACCCAGAGATGCTCAGTGCCAAACCTGTATAGGCTGCTACGTCACGGTTATTATTTAACTTGCCAATAATGACATTTGGGCCGATTTTAAGCCCATTTTCAACATCCTATATGCAAAGTTGTTTGATCAGATGACTGAACAAGGACTTTAGTTTTTTTTCTGAAAAAGTCATCAAAACATTGTATATTTTAGAATAAATAAACAGAATTTAGTCTGAATTATATGTTACATAAGAAAAAAAGGAGAAAGACGTGTATTAGGGCGATTACAGACAGAAAGGAGTAGTAAATTACTGCCAAAAAACAAATCTTGGAAATGTTAAGTTTCAAAAGTTGAACATTTGCAAGGAAAAACTCAGAATTTTTTAGATTATCTGAAATAGTCAAAGAAAATTTACTTCTGAAATTCTGAAATTTCCAAGTATTTTCTAGAAAAATTTCTAGATTAATCTAAAAAAAAATCTCTTTTTTCTCGCAAATTTTCAATTTTTGGAGCTCAGAAATTTCCAAGTTTGTTTTTCTAGAAAATTTCTGCAATTAATCTGAAAATGTGAGTTTTTCTGGAACATTTTTACATTTTGGAGCTCAGAAATTTTCTGGATTTTTCTAGAAAATTTCCCAGATTAATCTCAACATTTCTCTATGTTTCTTCTAGCAAACTTTCAACTTTTCAAGATTGGGCATTTCCAAGCATTTTTTCCAGAAAATTTCTGATTTCAATTTAAAAATATTTGAAGGTTTTGGCAGAAATGTATTTATTTTTTTTCTATTTGCAAAGGCCCTAATATGTCATTGTGTAATAGTCAGGGATGTAGGAGGTCAAATATTACAACCAAACAAATAAATAAATCCAGATTAGCAGGAATTTGATCCACAAAGAACCCAAATACATAAATCAGGATGAATACAGCAGCTTCAAATTGATCACATCTCCCACTGTGGTAAACATCTCCAGCTGTGGGTGGTGTCCACAGTGACCCTGTGACCCCACTGTGGACAGCAGGAGGCCAACTGCAGCGCTGCAACACGTTGGAGGCTGAATCAAACAGCAGCAGCACTCTGTGCAGCCACGTGCTCCTGCATCGACTTTTCAACACATGAATTTGGCATCCCAACGATCAATACTGTGCCACAGTGTTTATTTAGAGCTCTGGCTTCAAACCATCCACCATTAGACAAACTGGTGTGTCAGAACAAATTGATCAGAGGTTTGACAAATTTACATGATATGTGAATTTTAAAGTTGCACCGACACGAAGAGCTAGGCGTTTGGGTTTTATTTTAGCAGCTGCTACAGAAACTGGGAGCAGAAACAGAAACATCTAGTCTGGTGAAAGAATATATCTAAAATCCTGAATGAGTTAATCCTAATCCTAACAAATCCAACCTGCACTACGCAAATCTTCTTTCTACAGATATTTACATAAATTCTGGCTGTGAAAACAAGGAGAGTTCCTGCAAAACTCAAATATCTGAGCTTATCATCAAGGTATTGGTTGTGTTTTTGATGCCTGGTGTTTTCCCAGAAACGGGAAACTTTTTTCAATCAGAATATTAAACTGCAGCTTAACTATCAAATCTTAAAAACACATTAGTAAAACCCTAATAGACACGTTAAAATGAAACAAGTAAAAACACAAATCCATCCATGCATTTTGGGTCTGGTTGAATCTTATTCTGCATTGATATTTCCTTATAAATTGGATTAAATTGTGTCACCTTCCCAAAATATATGACCCAAGTCATTTTTTGCCAGAAGTGATTTGAAAAAAAAGAGAGAGAGAAAAAAAATCACCATCTCTTTTTTTTTGCCAAAAGATGATTTAGATTTTATATATAATTATATATACAAATCACTTGGCAAAAGATGACTTTTTTTAGGAAGTTGACGATATGAAAATATATGTGTAATGTTGTTTCCAGCAGGGGGCAGCAGTGAGTGTCTAAAAAAAACAGGACGTGCTTGATGATCAGAGGGTTCAGAAATCAAATTATTTCATTTAGAGGATTGATTTTCATGTCCGATCAAGCTACGAAAACAACTGCTTCACTAAACAGAAAAAAAAAACTTGATTTTTCATCCAAGTCTTTCTGTTGTTGAAACGCCACTCTGGCCGTTTCGAGGTAACCCCCATTTTCCAGGAAGTCCCAATGAACTGCGGCAGTTTGTAAAACAATTTAACCGCTGTGATGCACACATTGATTTTCATACTGAACAGATGAGAGTGAACTTTAGTTGTTAATACTGAAAACACCGAGCCGGAATGTAAACCGACTAAGTAGAGGTGAGTTGCTAGGGCCGACCCACAGATGTTGCCATGGCAACACTGTGTATCAGGCGTATTCTTGTAGATTAGCTGACTGGTGTTAACGCTTCAGATCTAGCTTGAACCAAGATTTAGCTTCCAGATTAAGTGACTAGAAGGTGTCATCCGACCTCCACCGCCGTGCTAAACAGCTGGTGTGTGAAGAATTGTGATGATTTTGCTGATTTTTGTCGCTACCTTCAAACATCGCTACTTTGTTCTCGTCTGGTCGAAGAACAGTCTCCAAGATGACTTAATGTTGTTCTGCTGTTGAATCTTTTAATATGTGAGTTGCACTTTTGCGACATATTTTCACATTACTCTTCTGATTTTACAGATTTATTGTTTTTGTTTTGTTTGTTGGTGCTGAATTAGCTCCATATGAGGCGATGAGAACTTAAGTTTGATGAGGTGATTTTTGGTTAGGTGAGGGTCATCTCAGTTGTTTGTACACTGTTCAAGGGACATAGTCTCAGTTCAAACAGCCTTTTTAGATTATATATAATCTACTGTAGGGACTTTTTTAAATATCACCTTAATAATAATAATATCTACCAACAGAAGGTCACCCAAGAGTTTAAAGTAGCATATTTTGTAAGAACCTTTTGGTCTAAATTGGCATGAAGTTACAGGCCAAAATTCGCATTTTCAAACTCTATAATTCATGAAAATATTTAACAATAATGAAAAGTAAACTGATTTTTGATCGGTTTACAAAATGGAAGTAGATAGAATTTGATTTAATCTATTGTGTTAATATCACTGCAAAAACACAAAATCTTACCAAGATTTTTTTTGTCTAGCTCCTCATGCAAGACAAAACTAACTTACAAGTAACTTTTCATCAAGAAACAAGAGTTTGTTTAGGTAAATAATTCCTTAATGTTGATGGAAAAAAAGTACTATTTCCACTGGCAGATTATTTAACGCTTAACATGGGGGAAATGTATTGTTATAAGTGAAATAATCTACCAGTGAAACTAGAATTTTTTCATCAACTTCAAGGAATTATTTACCTATTTCCTGCTGAAAATATATTAATTAGTTTTATATAACTAGACTAAAATACCCGGTAAAATGTTGTATTTTTGCAGCGTATATGTCAGTACTTACATGTTCTCAAAGAAAACAGCTTCACCAACAGCTGGAACCTCTTTGACAGACGCCAGCTGGTCAAAGTTGAATCGTTTTGTAAACACCCGCTCTCACTGGTTTTAAACTGGTTTTCTCTTTTAGACCTACATGCAGCTCTGAGGCTTCCTCACCTTTATAGAATCTGGTTTGGCCCTCAGGTTAAACCGATTACACTTATTTTTGTTATACTTAAAGAGAAGCTGAGGAGGAGAAAACTGAACAGTTTGTACATTTCCTGAGAAAAAACCGAGATAAACCGGAAAATGGATCGTTTAAAAATAAGAAACAAGCTGCCGACTTGCACGTTCTCACCTGTCCAAATAATAATAATAAAAAAAGCCCACCACCGTTAGTACTGATGAGATCACAGGTGTGTCAGACAGATAAACAAACCGGATCTGCTCAAGACGAGTCCTGTGTGTCCGGCTCTTCCGTTGTGCACTTCACCGTCATCTCCTGACAGAAATCCACTGTCACTGTGGGGCTACACAATTCCTCACTGGATACCAGAACCACCGGGTCGTCTGAGTTCTGCTCCTTCCGACCGAACACGTTCTGGACTTTCCGCCTGCTCTCCAGCTCCTCAGAGTTCTCTCCAACCATGCCGGATCCGGGTTTCACATGGTCCTGGTCCGGAGGATCTGAGGTGAGATCGATGGTGGCGGATTCGGGCGGAGTCTGGTTGGTTTGGACCTCTCTGCACACCTGCTGCGAGAGGAAGGAGAGGTTCTGCCAGAGCTCGGACATGCAGACCTGCAGCTGGTTCCTCTCACTCAGCAGCTTCTCCTTCTCTGACACCTGCATCCAGAAAACACACAACTGGGTCAAATCTCAAAATCAGCACAAAGAAACAAACTGAGAATTCAACTCCAACTAACGATTACTTTAGTTACAGAATAATTATTCTGACGATTAATGGATTAATCAGATAAAACAAATTGACAATTTCTTCTTTTTTTATTTAATCCTTTACATTAAAATATCCAAATAAGTCAAAGGACTCAATTCAAACAAGAAAATAAACATCTTATTGCATAAAATCATTATCATTTGTAGCAAAGGATGCACCTGAAACTAAAAACATACTTCTAAGCTAGGCCCTTTCACTTAACATCAATACAGTACAGGACTAATGTGCTGACTTTTTTTTTTTTTTTTTGATTAATCGATTAATAATTTGATAGCAAAAGCTGCTTTATAGGGCTGCAGCCAACTATTTTATCAATTAATCTATTGATTATTCCAACAATAAATCAGTTAAAAGAAACTTGGTACATTCTGCAATTTCTACATTTAAGCTTCTTTTTTACACAATATTGGAAAAATATTTAAAAATGCAAATAAAAATATATTTTTTTTTTTTTTAAATAAGAAAATATATATTGTATTAACTAAAATGCAATAATATAGTATTCCTTTAGTGATTTTTGATTATTTGTAGCAAAGGATGCATCTGCAGCTAAAAAAATAATTCTTTTGTACACTTTTTAAGCAAATGGTATTTCATTTAACGATTAACCATTACTACATTAATTGACAATTATTTAAATAATAGTTCCGTCATGATTAATTGTTTCAGCCCTAGCTCAGCCTTTGTTGTTAGAAGTACTCAGAAGTTCATCATCTTTACTATGTAGATTCTGGGTTGTTGGGGTAACTTTATGCTACGTGTGTGTGTTTTAAGCCCGTACCAGTTTTCGGATCTCCGTCTCCAGGTTCTGAATGCAGTCCAGCTTCCTCTTGCGGCAGCGCTGAGCAGCGATGCGGTTTTTGCTGCGCCTGCGGATGTCATGGATGAACTCCAGCTGTTCTGAGGTCAGTTTGTGCATCTTGATGAGGACCTGGAAGTCGTTGCGAGGCAGGTTGGAGATCTGATCCACAGGAAACGGCAGCTTCACCTGAAAGAACCGAGGAGTTCAATCTGATCAGGTCTGGTCTGATGGCATAAAGGTTTAATTCATGATAAAAACTGCAGATTTAAACCACATTAACATCTTTAATGATAACTATCAGTATCCACCGACCAACAATTTTTTGACGCGTTTTTGCACCAAAAATATCTGACAGAAATAAATGTTATAAAATTAGCTCTTCAGCTTAAGTTCAACAAGAACATGTAGCAGAGAAGGGTGTAAACTACAACAGAGTGTAAAAAAAAGTAATATAATTACGAGACTAAAGTCCAAATATCACAAGAATAAGTATTATTAACACATTAGTCATAATATTACGAGAATGAAGTAGAATCGGAATAAATAAATATTTCGACTTTATTCTTGAAATATTTTATTCTCATACTATTTCGTCCAAATTCCATAATATTTTGACTTTATTCTCGTAATCTTATATATATATTTTTTTTATTATTATTTCTTCTTAGTATAGTCCTAATTCTCCGTCGCAGTAAGAACCAGGGCGGAGAAACTCTGACCTTAAACAAGAACAAGAATCGGAGGGAATCCGCCTCATGAAGGCAGGTGAGTGTAATGCGGGGCAACAGCCAGCAGGTGTCAGTATCAGACTAATCAAATCCTGTCCGCATCTACTGATCATCTACAGTCTTCAACCACTAAATTAGTCTGAGAAAGATTTCCAAAGCGTACAATAAGATTTGTAAGCGTACAACATAATTCACGGATGTGTATAACACAATGCAAAAATGCATACTAAATGAATTAATATTGTTAATAGTCAAGGCAGAAGAAAAGAATGGATATCTGAGCATTACCAGACTTATTGGAAAAACCTTATTTTTGACTTAGTCCAGTTTCTCAAAACCACAATATTAAAGACATTTACTTACATTGAAGTTACTGGATTCTAAAAGTATGGACTTTGTAGAGGTTTATTTTTTGTTTGTATGTTTATTTTCTGGAAAAACAAAAACTGTGAAAACTAAGAACAGCAGCAGCGCCATCTTTTGGCAGCTTTTTAGCCTCCATGGTGCACAATGAACACAATGCAGTCGGTCTTCTGAAGTGTGATCTTAATGAGCAAACAGAAAGAAGCTAACTACTAACCTCAGGGCCAGAGACTCTGGATCCACCTTCACTGTCGCCTTCTGAGAATGATTCGGACTCATCGCTGGAGTTTCCTCCACTGGTACCAAACTCCTGCTCACTTTTGATCTTGATGTGGCCTTGGCTGAAGACGACCTCACTTCTGAGTGGCGTCCGGGCTTCCACCACTCCGACCAGACAACGAGGAAGAGCCGAGACTGAACCGACATGTGGGGCAGAGGAGAGGTCAAAAGCCAGGCTGGACGGCGAGCTAACAGTAGCTATGTCATCTGGATACGAGCAGTGGGAGCTGGGAGTCTGAGTTTGGGGTTCGGATGGAACAGGAGAGGCAGCTAATGTCTTGATGGAGACAGGAGAGCTGGTGAGGCATGTCAGGTGAGGTGACGAAGTCTCCACTTGCTCCATGGTTGAGGTTTTCTCTCTGTTGGACAATGGAGGTTGCTCACCAGCTGCAGAGGAGAAAATGACGGTACGTCTGTCTGGCTCTCCTTCATACCGAGAAGAAGACGTCTTGGATTGCTGCATGTCTCCATCATTGACGCTGTTGAGGTTGGATTGGCTTACAGAGTCCATCTTACTCCTCTGCCTGTCTTTGAGCAGCTCTCTGTAGTGGCTGATGGACAGATGGTTGGAGAGAAGCTGCTGAATGGTGCTGCCAGTCATGGTGCCAAGATCTAGACCGCCTCGCTGGAGGTATGAACGCAGGCAGGACGAGGCCAATTCCCCGTCTGCAGACGGCTTATCTGCAACTGGAACTCCCTCCACCTCCAGCTCCATCTCCAGAACCTCTTCAGTACCAAATTCTGCGTTGAAGCCGTTCCTCTCGTGTCCTGATTCGTCAAAGGGCTCCTCTTTAATCCTGGAGGGGTTGAGAAGGGTCTGGGGAGCAGCACAGGAGTCTGTCGACTCTGAACTGGTTGGAGTGGGAATGGTCTGTTGACCTAATCCATTGTGCTTGTCGTCGCAAACCTGGTGCTGGTACTTCCAGGATTTCGGACTTTGTGGAAGATCTTCATGAGGGGAAGCAGCATCAGCTATTAGAGAGCTTTCCTTCTTTGTCTCCGAACCACTATCAAAGGAAAGGTCTTGGGAAAAGACGGTGTCTTCTTCATCGTATTGCACCTTGCAATTTCTGGAGTGCTGTCCATCACTCTCCAACTGAGCCTGAAGAAACTGGAAGCAGGAATCCTCCAAGTTGTGCACACCAAGGAGCTCGGCACACAGAATGACCTCATGGATGTTTTCACGACTTAACACCAGCTTGGCAGTGTAGGCAAACTGGAGCAGCGGAGCGAAACCATTAGCCGTCACCTGCAAAAAAATAAATACATCTGTTATCTATAAGGCATATATTGGTCCAGTGATGCAAAAAGTAACTTACTTACGATTAACTGTCGATTAATGGTTTATTAGATTAAAATGAATCGAGTGAATTAATAATGTCTGATTCGATATTCTTTTAGTGTTGTAGTTTGGCCGCCATCCAGCAGAGGGCGCCACTGGTCATCAATAAGCGGATTGACAGAAAGATGATGGCCATACCAGAATGGAAAAAGGAACCCGTCAAAACAGTATTGGACGCAAAATGCGCTTTATGTGATTCTGTTTTGAAATAAACACGCAACTATTTTACCTTAATGACGCTGCATGATGGAGGAGCAGAATCAACTTCTCAACCAAAAATCTGATTTGCTACGAAGGCGTGGATGTTATGACAGAAAGAGGACATTTAATTATAATAATTTAATGTTTTCCTGAAATTCAACATATGATAAATTTAGCCATGTATGTTAAGGAAAAACGGTTGAGTCTACAAGAGAAAACTCTTTAATAAAATGTTTATTTATCAATTAATCACTAGCTCAATCAACTTTAGATAACCTTAATCAATAATTTGTGTCCCTAAATTGATCTATTACTTAAAATCTTGCTAACTGTCCTCATGTTTTATGTTGTAGGAATGCAAAAAGGCACTGTAAGGTATAAATAGTTGAAAAATAAAAGGAGGTGCTTTCAGAAAAATCAAATATTCGCCATGTTTTCCTCTTCCTGCTGTGTTTATCTTTTGTGTCCTGAATGATTCGGTCTCTTTCAACCTTCATCATCCTCAGCTTCCTCCTCCTTCACTGTTGTCAGCATCATCTTTGTCCATCTGTGTGGTTTGTGCTCACATCAGCAACCCTTCAGGCTTCACAGCAGAACAATAAGATCATGAAACAGGAACAGAGCTCCACTTTAACACGACTGGACAGACGGAGTTCAGACTGTCTGTTGCTTTGGTTTAGCTCTGCTTGCTAAAAACTTCACAAAAGGAAGCAAAGCATCATCTCTCCGTCCTGTCATTTTGCCCTTTACCTTGTCTGGCAGGCTGATGATGGGTTCTGCGCTGCCTGTAGACTCGCTGTGTCCCAGCAGGACCTGCAGGAAGTAGCTGCTGCTGGCAGCCAGGACGGCCCGGTGGGCCCGGACCTCCCTGCCCTCCACCAGCACCGTGACATCACAGAGGAGCCCCCGCCGCCGCTGTTCCTCCAGGCTCAGCAGCACGTTGGCACAGTGCACCTTGGATTCGTACACGTACACCGGCGCTGACGCCTCACCGTCATGCTGCTGCTCCGACATCACTTCCTCTGACACCCTGCACAAACTGCATGCAGAAGGAGTTATCAATTTATTATCAATCAATACACAAATTCAGATACAACTCAGTTCAGGTTGTAGCACATCTAAACGTCTTGTTCCCTGTTCAGAAAGCCATCAGATACAAACAGACAGAACAAATCTGTGGTGTGAAAATCACATGCTAAAGTAGGTCTGTCACAAAGTACATTTTTCTGGATGATAAACTGTCCCAGAAATTATTGCAATAAACAATAATGTTGTTGGTTTGAGATCATTTTCAAGCAGTCATAATGGGATAAAAATACAAGTACACCCTCTCAAAACTCAATTAGCTTTAATTTCGAATGAACATTTAACACTGCACTGCAAAAACAACAAATATTTTAGGACACTTGAAATAAAACAAAACTAATATACAAATAACTTTTTGCAAGATATAGAGGCTTGTTATGCGTAAATAATTCTTTAATATTGATGAAAACGTAATGGATCCATTGGCAGATTATTTCACTTATAACAAGACATATTTTTCTCATGTTATAAGTTAATTTATTTGTCAATGGAACAAGTACTTTTTCTTAAATATTAAGAAACTACTTAAAACAATCCTCTATATCTTACTGAAAAGATCATTTTAAGTTAGTTTGTGTTATTTAAAGTGTACTAAGATATTTTCACCATAATACTTGATAAAATTGTGTGTTTTTGCAGTCTGGATCTGGACGACGTTTTGAATATCCAAAATAAATAAAACAACAAAAATAAAATGGATGATGAAATCTGTCAACAAAATTACCCATTAAAACCGGGACTCGTTGAGATCAAAGCACCAGACTGAACCCTTCTGTCATTTAGACTTTGGTAGAAAAACAGAGACACAAGTAAAACAATCATGCAAATGGAAATCACTGCGCTCATCTTAATTTATCATGCAATTAATTGATTTATTGCTTATTGCACCAGGCTCATGTCAACATCAGGCCACTGCAGCCTGCTGCATATCCCTTCATTTTGTTGCATCTCACTGTGAGAAAATACCTCCAGCTGCATCCTGCTACACCTTCCTGCACTCATTTGCATTCAGCTGCTCCTTTCTGTTTCTGACTACATCCAGCTTCATCATTCTGCTCTCTGTTTATATCCTAACACCTCCTACATTGTAAAAACACAAGGTCTTGCCAAGCATTTTGTCTAGTTTCTTGAGCAAATATCCTAGTACACTTGAAATGAAACAAACTAACTTAAGTAACATTTTATAAAGATATAGAACTAAGTAAATAATTTAATACTGATTTTTTTTTTTTTTAAGTACTGGTCCACTGGCAAATTTCTTTAACTGAAACTGAAGAAAAATTTACTTCTTGATGAAAAGTTTGTTTGAAGTTAGTTTTGTCTTATTTCAAATGTACTAGGGTATTTGCACTAAAATAAAAATCCTTGGTATGATTTTGTGTTTTTGCAGTAATAGCTGCTCGATATTACATTATACTGCACTGTGAAAAATCCTGCTGCATTCCTCTGTATCTTGCTATAATCAATAATCAATTAATCATATGACAAATTAAAATAATTCACATTTGCCTGATTTATCTTTAACAATTATTTTAGTAATTCTATCGATTCCATACATTACTTTGACGATTAATCATTTAATCGGATAAACATTCTGATTTTTCTTTTGTCCGTTATATTATGTATTATAATATTAGAAACATTAAAATATGCAAATAAATAATTTAATTCCTTTTTAAATAAAAACTTAAACATTTTATTGCCTATTAAATGCAATAACACAATAATTCTTTACTGTATTATTGATGATTTGTAGCAAGAGACCAACATGTGAAAAGCTCAGACCTTCCTGTTCAATTGATCTGATCATTTTTTGGACTAACTATTTAATAATAGGATAGATGAACAGAAGATTTGTTTACAGGATTTGAACCAGGTGAAGCTAAAATTATGAAAAGTTCTGGGTAAAACATATTTCCAGATAAAAAAATATTTTTTTATCCTAATTACAAAATGTTTAAATATTTTGTACAGTTTTGGTTTAATTTCTGCTCTGATTGTGTTGTTCTCTCAGCAAACGGCCCGTTTTGAGTCTCCATTTAGATTAATTGATTTCTAAATTAGTTGACGATTATTTAAAAAAAAATCGATTTATCGTTTCAACCCTAAAGCACGCAGTTGTAGATCTAAAGTTGAGCTTTAAAGAGAGCGGCAGCCGTGCACACAGACTGCAGGCAGAGCTGCTTCTTTGTGATTCAGCCGTTCATAAATCCTCCCTCCAGACAGCTGAGTGTGCAGTCTGTGTGTGTGTGTGTGTGTGTGTGTGTGTGTGTGTGTGTGTGTGTGTGTGTGTGTGTGTGTGTGTGTGTAGGTGTGTGAGCTTTGTGCTGAGTCAGACCTGCTGAAGCAGCCCACCTCTGAAGGCTCACTGTGAATCCACATACTGACCATCATCATCATCATCATCATTTGCTTAGATTATCTGCTGCGTCCGTGAGGATCACCAGAACAGCTACGCGTCACGTTTCCATCCTGATCTTGTGTTTTGCAATCTGTCTCCGCTCCTTTTCGTCCAATCACACGGCGGGTTAGAGGAGGAGTGACCTCTCAGGACTGACTGTTGTTATTTCTGTTTTCGTTCAGGACTTTAATTTAAAATGGCAGCATAATGTAACCTTCTTATTCCATCATCAAAAACACACCTGGAGCGTTGCCTTAATTCTTTCACACATGTTTGAGAAATCCTTTAATCTCCATGGCAACCATTCAGCTGCGGAAAACGCCTGGATGGACCAAGCCCCGCCTTCGACTTTCCCAAAATCAGCTCCTTCAGCAGCAATTAGCAAACATCTGTTTGAACTGCACATCAGCTGAGCTCATTACACAAGCTATTTCTCCGTGCAACATCGCAAAACCATAAAATATTACCAAGTAGTTTTGTTCTAATTTCTAGACCAAATATTTTAGTACATTTGAAATAAGCCAAAATTAACTTACAAGAAACTTTTCAGCAAAAAATAGGAGCTAGTTTTCAGTCAATAATTCAATAATATTGATGAAAAAGTACCAGTTCCACTGGCAGATTATTTCACTGAAAGAAAAACATTTCTCCTGTGTTATAAGTGAAATAATCTGCCAATGGGACAAGTACATTTTACATGAATATTAAAGAATTATTTACTTTTAAAAAGCTCATATTTCTTGTTGAAAAGTTACTTCTAAGTTAGTTTTATCTTATTTCAAATGTACTAAAATATTTGTGCTGGAAATTTGACCAAAATTACTTGATAAGATTTTGTGTTTTTGCAGTGAATGCTGGAAAAAACATTGTGAAACAGTTAATAGGGGAGTAGTGATGAGATAATTTCCTGAAGGCGGGGTGTTGGAAAGAGCAGGACTTTCTTAAAGAGACAGAGCCCCAATTACAACATCTACATTTGTTCATATATATAGCAGTTTTAAAACAACTGAAGTTACTTGATTGTGCTGTAAATTGCCACCATTTGCCTGGAAAATAAATAATACCGCTTTTTTAAAACATCCTCACCATCCTCCCGAATTGCACTTCACGTCATCTTCCTCCATTCAGCTCTATGTTGCTCTAATGTGCTGCATCCTGTTCCTTCCCATCCCTGATACATTCTAGTCAATTAAGATCTACTCTACATCCAGACACATCCAGCAATATTCTGCTGCAACCGGCTGAATCCTGCTTCATTGTGCTTCTAGTTAACTCTGGCATATTGACAGAAATGTTAACATGCACTGTTCCTGTAATGAATAAAATAAATTACAGCGTGTTTAAGACCACCATAACCGGGTGATATGTACTTAAAATTTTATTATAAGTAACTCAAAACACAAAAGTAGTTTCTGGTGCAAATGTCTTAGTACAGTTGAAATAAGAAAATAAGACAAAGCTAACTTATAAATAACTTTTCAGAAAGATATGAGCTTGATTAGAGTCAATAACGGTCATAGAGCCGTTACCTAGCAACCCAAGCCCCGCCGGTCACCTAGCAACCCAGTTCTAGTTCCTCTGGCACATTGTTTCACTTATAACATGGAAAATGTCTTAATATAAATGACATAATCTACCAGTGGAACTAAAACCTTTTCAGTTTGAGGAATTTTAACTAAAAAAATTCCTCTTATTGAAAAGTTACTTCTAAGTTAGTTTGTCAAGATTACTCAGGTATTTGTGCTACAAATCAGACCAAAAATACTTATATATAAGGTTTTTATTGTACTTTTTTGCAGTACTGTATGGAATTTGCAACACATGTTCACATACTGTACTTAAAAAGCTAAATTTATATCACTAAACTGTACTGGATTTAATTAAATTTTCAAATTTACTGATACTTAATGACAATTTCTTAATACAGATAGTGGAGAAAACAGTAAAAACACATTTTGTAGCTATATTGTTAGTTTTTTTAATGAACATCATTAATTTAAATTTACTGAGACAATATTTATCCAAAACTGTCCATATTGTCAGGATTGCTGGCTTTACTATTTTCTTCACTGTTTTTCCTATGTATCAATAAATACGACTTAATGCAGTTACTGTGTGCAGTTTAGTGATATAAATCTCACCTTACAAATAGGAATGTTTTTCAAAAGCAGTATTTGCATTTGTGGGGCTATGCTCGCTGTCATATTATCACTTTTACCACAAAATATTGTGATAAAACTTTAAGTCCATATCATCCACCAATACTTTTTCTTGCGTCCTGCAGTTAACGTAGAGCAGGTTATCGTATTTTTCTCCATTTGCAGCAGTGAAATCCTCAGATTATTTAACCAGCAGAAGCGCTGCAGAAAGGCAGATTAACGGGGAAAGATGCTGGTAAATCTGATCCAGAAATGACCGGCAGACATCCCAGAGGAGATCCTGATAAACATCCTGCTGTGACATCATCGTCTCCTCTTTTATTCGCAGACACGCTTCTCGCTGGGATCCGGAAACCTGAACTCTGAGGTCACCCAGAACCTTCATCCCCAGGG